TTCCGCATTTAATCGACTCTCTTCGTTTTTCCAACTATCGTTAAACCTAGCTGTGCGTAAAGCATAAAAATAAACGATAAAAAAAATATATATATATATATATATACATATAATACAAGTACATTATTATGTTTAATAAACATTTTAATCATTGTCTACCACGCGGTTAACTGTGACCGAATATATCCGAGCTCTACAGAGATAATATTATTATAATATTATTGTTCTTGTTGTTTACCATCCGTAACATATATTGACAATACATTGTTCTTTGTTTCAAAATTTAACGATTTTTAAAAAAAAAAGATATATATAATCGAATAATTATGTTAAAAAAAAAGATATTTTAGGTAATAGACAGATATATAGGTATTTAATTAAATGGAATTGTAACAAATTTATCAAAAGTTTATGAATAAACCTAAACATATGTGTACAAATAATATAAATCTGTAAAATTCGTTTGGGTATAGGTAATATGGAATATGGTTACATCCCGTGTTACCAAAAATTGTAAATTAATTATACAAAGACGTTTTATATGTATTCTGATCTTCATAATTTAGAAACAGCAAAATAGGAAAAATTTTAGTGTAGTTTTGAATGCGGACGCAGCAAATAGTTTTATGTAATTTTAAATACTGTGTTAAAAATCGAAATTAAAAAAAAATAAATATTAATACGAATCTGGGTAGTAACAAGAAGAAATTCGAAAGTTAAGCTATAATAATAGTTATCTAACTTTTTTGTTGATAATTTTTACGTTAACCAGTTAAAAAAAACTTAAGTTATTTTGTTAAAATTTAATCTATTCCTACAATTTTTTTCATGAATTTTGTGTGTAGTCATTTTTAAAATAACTTGAATTCATTAATGTCATGAATATACTTGTATTTCGTAATTTAACTCAGTATTTATTTAAATTTTAAAATTGTCTTTAATTTAGCTTAGTTATTATTATTTTTAGCGAGGAATATACTATCGATTTAAGTAACTAAGTTGGTGTATGACCCAATCCAACGATTATGCATTGCAAATGAAAAATAATTCTGAGTGAAGTAATATTAGTCGTGTTTTTTCCTCATTGCCAAGGTAACCAAAAAATGGATAGATAAAAAAATAATCTAAAGAGTAAACTGCTGAATATTTTGATAAATGTTAAAATAAAGTATCATTAAAAAAAATACCGTATCTTTTGTGGTACTACGTGAAAAAATGCATGCATTTTAATTATCGAAAAAAATGTTTCCGAGAAAAAACAGTAACACACATATCAAAGTAAAACTAATGGCTTGTTCGCTACACTCAGAATCTTATGTATAATATATATATTTCTATTTATCTAGATAAATTCCACTGATTCAATATTTAATCTGTAATAATTTAGATATATTTTTTATTTGGTTTAATTAAATTATTGCAACTATCTGCGTTACAACACTGGTCTAATATTAATTCATATAATATTTTTTTTATTTGGTTACGATGTGTTTATATTTTTTTTCAAATTTATAAATACCTATCGACGTTGTCCGTGTTTTTTATTGTAGGTACCTATTTCAGATTTACTATCACATTTAGAACATTTCCCAAACTGCGTGCAATAATAACCATAAAGAATCCCGACGCAGCGTTAATAATATGTATTAGGTATTTAAGGGTATTTACAAAAAGGAAAACGTTGGTAAACGTCCAAATTTCGGATATGTTTAGTACCTGTTTATTTACAAGGTAATCGATTGGTACTTAAAAAAAAATAAATACATAATATAATAATATAGATACATTCCCGATCCTGAGTATTTTTTATGAATAATGACACGAGCTTCGCGACCGATGCGACGGTGGTGTTAACACGAATGAACATAAAACACTTCTTTTGTGTACGCGATCGAACATATTTGTCGACGCATAAAAAAAATCTAAGTAATATAAAAGAAAACCTTTTGAGTATAAAATTTACTTTTTGTTGGCATATTTAATAAAAAAATACAAAATATGTATACATAATGTATATTTACCCGTAGAATATGACGATACGATAATAATAATATTGCGGTGTATCTACTTATGGAAAAATAATATAATATTTTTTTTATACTTAATAAAACACGGGTCTCCTTTCTACCAACGAAATGTATAAAAAGTTAAATTTCTGTAAGTACCTTTATAATATACAGGGCGATCGATTTATCGATCTATCGTAAGAAACTTATTATCTCGGAAAATATACATACATTTTTTTTTTTTTTTTTTTCGGGATTTGTTTTATAGAACATTTAAGAAACAAGCTGCTCTACAATTTTATTTTGATGTTATTTTTATCATCCTTATTTTTGGGAGTAAAACCACTATCTGATAAAAAAATAATTACCTACTTTTAGTTTTCAAATGACAACCTAAATTCCATAAACAGATGGAGTACCAAAAAGAAGTTAAATAGTTAAATCAAAAATATCAACATTAAAATTTAGTTTTATTTATTTATTTTATTTGTTTATTTTTGAGATATTCCATTTTTAAGTTTGGGTTGGGGGTGAGTAGTGGTGCATTATTAAAACGCCGAAAACCGTGCCGCCACAGTACCACTCAAATGATGCTCCATTACAACTCCCCCCCGACTCATACTTAAAAGTGGAATATATCTCATAAGCGAATTGACGGAAATTAAAAATGTCAACACTAAAATTTATTTTAACTAATACTTCATCTATTTATGTCATTTTTAACAGAGGTCATCTTTTTAAAATTAAAATTAGGTTATGATTTTACTACCAAAAATAAAAGTTACGAGATAATTAATATTTTACAATCACCTGTATACGGTGATTTTTTATATTATGAACTAACAATTATGTGAGAGGATTTTAAGTTAATTTGATTTCTGTTTTTTCTAATCATTATAGAATCATTTAAGCTTTATTTTAAAATCATTTTTAATTTTTTACTCCTACTCTATTTACCTTAAATAAGTGCATACTTTTGATTTTCATATTTGTCATTCTATCATTCTAGAGGTTACGAGTTCAAACCCGGCTGTTGAACAGAATTGTTTGCATTTTTGTCTTTTTTGCTTAAATAAGGAAAAACTAATGCATTTTGGGTGTACTTAGAGGTCCAAGCTATCGTTTGCTTGGACTATTTTATTCGCAAAATACCTCACGATTCATTGTGCAAAATTTTATGCCAGAAAACTTGCTCCAAATTATAAAGTGTAGCTTATTTTATAAAGTAAATTCAACTACATGGTACTTTAGAGAAATCAATTTTTAATTTTTTAGATAATTTTCAGAATATCTTCGAAAAATCGGGATAATATGTCGGAAAATGGGACAATGTACAAAATGTAGGTATTAGTTAAAAAATATTACGGTCTTCTTTTTATTCTGTGTACTATATTTCTACCAACAATTTTGCTCCAGTTTACAATATTAACACTTTATCTCAAAGAAAATCTGACGGGAAAGACACTTTAAAGACGTCATTTTTTGATGTTCCCAAAATGTGAAAAACAGGGGAAAACGCAGGATAAACGGGGCAATCTGTACAATATTAAACAAATATATATTGAAGAAAATATATAACGCCTATTTAATTATATAATCAAAATATGGCATGTAAATTGTTGACAAAGCATCATTACAAGTACTAAACTTCGCTCAGAACCGTTTTATCTTTAGCAACGATACAAAACATTAATTAAAAACATTAAAATGGCTAAAACAATAGCTGCACCCGTCTCCATTATCCTAGAGAGTCTTTTTTTTATTTGTTTTAATTCAATTAAAAATATTCGTAAAGCCTTGCAATCCAGTCAAAAAATAAAAATTGCCTTTTTTAGAAAAAATTTGTTGAATACGATTTCTGATTCTAGAAGTTGACATTTTCAAAACATTTGAGCTATATTTGAGCTATTTATTTAATTTTACGAATTTTTACGTAGTTTGTATGTGGCAAGTACTCTGTGAAAATAATTTATTGATTTGACAGTAATGTTTGATAATTTAACAACACGTTCATTATAATTCGAATTATGTGATAAAAACAATCTTTTACAAGATTGTAAATAATTAAGGCTTTGCAAAACATGTTTACCCGAAGTTCGCTCCGTTAGTCATTCTTACTTAATTTGCAAGAGTTTATCATTGCTCAGACATAAGTCACATACATTTATATTTTCTACATTTCCAAATTCCCACCTACAAAATTCACACATGCGTTCCCAGTAACAGATTTTTTTTTGATTTTTTTCTTATATTCCTCTTTCTTTAAAATATTTAATTAAAAACATTATTCTCTCGGTTTATTTTATTTTATCCGCAAAATAATGTCATTCATTAAGACATCATTTATTCTAAAATTCTGCTTGATATAGTGTTTTGGACATTTTTTTGATCAACTATTTAAAAGTGTATTTATTTTACAAATCACAGCATTGCCTTTCTGCATAAAATTGTTTATAGTTATCGTTTGAATTATAATTAAAATTGTATGGATGATCATGATTATGTATAAAAGTAAAACACGGTTAATACTAGGTATGACTTTATCAGTTAATGAGGATTCGTTCAAAATTGCATTTTAATTGCAACGAACGATATCGAATATATATTTTCAAAACATCCCATCAACGACAATGTCATAATCGTGGTGCGAAGTATGTTCGATTTTTTTTAAATAGTATATGGCCAAAGGGAACGAGAAATTCAATTTTCTTGTTTAAAAGCCACACTTTAAGCGTGAACCTACAAAAGTGTAATATAGAAACTGACATTTAAAAATTCGGCTTTTAAGTATAATTTCATTATAAATACAAAAATATAATAATATATAACAATTTTGTAAAAATATTACCTATAAATTAAATATTTTGATCAAATGAAATCTTTTACTAATCTGTCAAACCATTTTGTAACTTGGCAACAGAAAAAAGATCAACATTTTTAATATGTTTTTTTAAATTTACGTTCGGTTGAACGACTTCCGCGGAAAATAACTNAATGATTTTTTTAGTTTGCCTGATACCAGTAGTACTAACAGTGATGTTTCTACTAGATATTCAAGCTCCTAGCTGTAACAACGAATCCGACGAAGGAAGCTCGTCAATTTGGCATAAAATTCGTGGTTACAGGAACGTGGTACATAGACCACGTGAGTTGTCTAAACAGGTAATCATGGCCTTGAGTCAGAGAAAGATCTATGACCTTAAAGCGGTGGGCAAACAGACAAACAAAAGTGAAGACGAGAATGAGATCGATATGCGGCTTTGGAAGTTGATAAACGATACGTCCGTTGACTTGGACTCGTTCTACCCTCTGGTCAAATCGATGGATTTGATAATAGACAGTTTTTGTGATCGTGTTGAAAATATTGTTCTGAAGTATCAGGTCGGTGTGATTCTTGTTCCATAATAAATATTTATTACACAATAGGCGTATCTATACGTTATCACGTCCATTACGCATACTGATTTTTTATCACTACAGCGATTATTATTTATAAATAAGAATTTTTCGAGTTAATTTTATTTCGATTTTTTATTCAGTCACTACAGAATTGTATGATCTCTCTTTGAAAATATTTTCAAGCAACAGCCAACGTTTTCAAACTAAGATTCAAAAGGTGGATATTTGTCTAAATATTTACCGTCTAGGGGTTATCTATTGAGTTTTATAAACTATTATAAGTAGAGCACAGATAATACATGCACGAGGAAGTAATAAATGTGTCATATAATCTTCATTGAAAATTATAAAAAAACTTAAAAAGTAAATTACTCGAGCAATAGCTGACAATTTTGTTCGGTGTGGCGCATAATTTTCATTGAAACACGCAAGTAGTACACTTTAATATACAAAAATAAGCAAAATACAATTTTTGTTATGACTTTTTTTTAAAAATGATTCGTTTAGACTATTAACAAACTTCTAAAAAGAAAAAAACATGCAGTAAAATGCATGTCTGTACTCTATTTTATAAAAGTTTCAAATGTAGACCAAAGAAAAGAAGAAAAAAATAATTGATTTCATATCAGTATTGTTAGACAATATTTAAATTCATCAATATTACAAAATATTATTTTACTAAAAATCGCTGGTTTATGATAAAATAATCAGCCCGTAGTTACCTATGTGTAATCTATTGAATTTANTCCGATTTGTGCCGTAGTCTTAGTAAACAGATTCCCGATATGTCCATACAATGTCCAACTGTAGCGGACTTCACTAAAACAAACGAGGACAGTTATTTCGCATCCGTATTTGAACAACTAGTTTATAGGACAAACAGCTAATGGTCATTTTAATATTATAAGTAAGATTTTTTAATGCATGATACATAACCTATTGTTATTTATTTTTATATATAACGATAAATAATTGCTAACAAGAAATAATTTCGAATGAAGTTCGGTTAAACATGTTCTCAAATGCAGCGATTTTTATAATTTTCATCATAATTTGAACATAGATTTTGGAAAAAAATTATATTAAAACTTACTGATGATAATTTTGCGGAATCTTGTGATCATTGTCCAATTTAGGATAAGCACAATTATCGTGAACGATGTAAACAATCGTGAATTATGTAAACAATTTTTCTGCCAGAAATATTGCTACCATTCACAATTGTAAAACTTATTCTGAAAGAAAATCAGACTTGGGTGGTACTATAAGCAGATTATTTTTTTTTTATTTTTTAGCTATTTTCTCAATATATTTGAAAACCCCATAAAAAAATGGAGAACAAGAAAATAGATACAATATTAAACAATATTATTAAAGGAAATGCCTAATGCATATATAATTGTTTTTACCATAATATATCATATATATTGTTGACAAAGCAACACAATCAACTGAAGTCCACTTACAATTATTTGTTTGTGAGCAATGGTTTATCGTTGCTTACAGATTTACATTAAATTCCCGTCTGTATCCTACCTTCTAAAACTTCTCACCTACACAAGTAATTTCACCCACGTGCGAAGTATGTCGGTTTTTTTTTTTTTATCAAATTTAAAATATTACATACAGATATTTTTGACAGAACTTAACAGTACATAATATCTTTCCAAATGTATATAAAAAATGTGTAGTTATGTTAAAACAATGATAATAGATTTTGACTAAAATTCACTATTTTGTAAATTAATTAAGTGGGCCTACTTGTATATTTTCCCGGGCCTTACTCTCTCCTCAAATCGCTCCTGAATACAAGTTACGCTTTAAAGTAGTCATTTTTTATTTTCCCAGAAGTTTTCATAATAAATTAGTAAAACCGGGAAAAAGCGTAGAAAAGACAGTAGAATCGAATTTTCCCGCAGCTAACTTGTCACCGTTGCAATATAAATGTTTTCTTTTTACGATTGATCTCAAATAGTTATGTGCAAACAACAAAATATATTATCAGAAAAATGGCCGGGGAAGCGATTGAAAGTTAAAATCCCCAAAAAGCATATCCTTGATATTTATACCTATGGTGCATAATTGTACAATTTTCAATCCCTCTGACTTCATTTGAGGCATCTGTAGGCATGTATAAAAATTTTTAAAAAAAACCACTCTTCTCCTGCGACATAATGGAATTCATACTTAAATTCAATCGTTATCCACGTATAAAATAATTCTAATTCCTGAGTATGAGCTCATTTGTTCAATAAGAAGCCACTAGAAATTTCCGGAAGTGGTGGGATAATAAATATAATGTAACAGATCTAATACAGGTCAATCATTTCTATTTACGGGGAAAATACGAAAAAATATATATATTGCCTATAGATTATATCGTATCTATTTAAAATAATAATATAATGATTCGAACGAAATTTTTTTGAGTTACCTAGTTTTATAATTAAAAAATAATGATTACTATAGGGCTTATCGTAGTATATTATTGTTTTACATATCGTTATTTGAAAATTTTTTAGAATATCTAACGAATGTTTACTAAGAAATTTTCCTTAAAAATTGTTTAGGTAATATTTCTACTTTATTTCTAGATAAAAAAATACGTCCATGTTTTGTGCAATAAAATAATACAGTACTTATAAATTATAATTTAATACAATCTTAATTTGTAATTTGTTCAATTTTAACATTTTTGAGTTGTGGTTTTCAGTACATCGTGTTTTCTGTGTACTGTACATGTTTGTGTGTTTTTTACTTTTGTTCAGTGAATTCTGTAGTTTAATGTCGATTTTAAAAAAGATTATTATTATTATATGGAAAACAATTCATTTTACTTTTGTTTTTCATGAAGACTTAAAGGATTTTATTAAACTTTGGTTGATTGGTTTTGATCTTTCAGATTTTACTGTACATATGTCGAATATAAATGTAAAATAAATGAAGTTTCTGTTCATATAACCGTGGTTTTATTGATCTATTGTTTTGCGTTCAACATATAACTTAAATTATATTAGGTTACATTTTAGTGTAGTAATAATCTGTACTTTGTATTTAATGAAACAAATATCTACGTCTTAAATAACAATATTTTAATATTAATTATATTAATATTTTAATATCTGTACCTATATTAATTTTATCATTTAAATGCAGAGGAGAAAGGCAGCCACACACTATTTACGACGGAAACCTGTGATTTTTTTTAATCGCTTCCCTAAAATCTAAAGAAATAACCTCATTTTAAGTTTTAAATTCCTTAATAATAAAATATCATTGCAGTTATTTATTTGAAAAAAATATTTATTTCAATAGCAATAACACTAAAGATACAAATATATTACCTATTTTTACATAACATTCTTTCGAATTATTCAACTAGTTACTTCTTTCGTTTATAAGATAATGTCAATTCTGGTAATTCTGTTAATCTAAATATTTTTTCTTGTAAAATTAATGATTTTAGTTGCATACGTAACTAACCTGAATTTTAAAACAGTATCATTTAATTTTACTCTTTTACTATTAGTTATTAATTATATGCCTATCCAATTTTGTAAAACTTCAATACATATATATACATTTTTGCATACTTAATATTTGTATTACTCTCATTCGACTGTTAATGTTTACACGATCTTTTTAAGGAAATTAAGTACAATAAATAAATATATACAAAATCTATACAAAAAAAAAAAAAGAAATATTGATATTGCCTAAAATTATTCATTTTTATTAAATCTTTGTATATTCTAAACTAATAATAGAAATAAAGTAAATAAATATATTATTTAATTTTTAATTTTACATTTTGTATTTATATATTTATTTACTTTATTTATTTACGAGTATTAACTATTTTAGTAATTTTGTTTTTACTTTATTATTTTATCGCTCAATAATAGAATACAGAGAAATTGTTAATACAATAGTCACCTGAAATTACAGAATAGCAGAATCGTGTCAAAATAATAAAATGTCAGTTTTCATTACCACCTAAATCATCTACACTATTAACTAGTCGGCCGACCAAATAATTAATAAACTTTATAAACTTTATCATCATATTATATTTATAAATGCATATAAAATATAAAGTTCGTGTCTACAGTTGATTTGGTTGGTTAATAATAGAAGAAAGAACTATACGCCAATGAAAACTGTCGTAATATTATTTAGTGACTTAGCCTTTCTGTGCAGCTCCGCAGACTGCAGCTAGTATAGATACACCTTATATGAAATAATAATTAAAATTAATTATTTTCGCGTGTTCTATTTATATCTACCAACAGCGAGTTCACTACGTTTGACAGTAAAACCGAGAAACGTACTTACCTATAATATATTATTAAAAGTAGAATTATAATTAACAAAAAAAAGAAAAAAGAGTAGTTATACCTCGTTAAATGATATATCTAATGATAATAGGTCAAAAAAACTCGCATCTTATAAATATTTAGTTAAACCTTTGCATTTTTAAAGTCGAAGTTGGTTTAGGTGGAATAGTCTAGGCGGTTATCATTTGCACATCGTTTGTTTCCCTGCTCCAAAAACTCGTACATCATTTACGTATCAACGGCAGTGTATCATTTGCGCACCGTTAACCGTCCATTGCACCAACACAATATCTGATATCATACATCATTTGCGTATCAATATATCGAATAATAGGTAAAAAAAAAAAAATTTCCCTATTTGTCAGTGTTTTCTTTTCGGTATACCAATAGTTTTTAAAAATTACAGCAGCTTTTCCACGATTTAATTTACTAAATTTGAACAGACCTCACCCTTATACAATTTAATATTAACTACTAATAGTCATATCCACTAGATCTAGTTATATAAGTTGATGATATCTGATTGGTTTGGGTCGTTCTTACAACTCACTCGCGGTTATCGTCGTATTGGGTATACCATATGTATAATTTTAAAACAGAAATGCCTTCTATAATCTATATTACTTAATAGTTAATAGATATAATACTAGTTATAGTTTATAGTTACAC